AGAGAGAGAGAGAGAGAGAGAGAGAGAGAGAGAGAGAGAAAGAGGTGAAGAAACAGAAAAATAAGAGAAAATGGCTGCTTAATTCACTTTTTGTGATGTCTCATCCAATTGAAATGGAACACTCAAGAGAGTGAAGATGATGGCCAAAATTACATAGTCAAAGCCTTGACCGTTTCTTCTGCATTGAAACTTTTGTAAAAAGTAGACAGCACTTTGCTTGTACAGTCACAGCTTGTGGTTATGAATGTTGCCATAATGCGCACCTTTATATCTTCGTACTTATAGTTGTTTAAGTTTAAAAGGAAGAAATATTTTTAATTCCTAAATTCTTTCTCAGTCTCTTTGTCCAAACTAAACAACTGATTACCATTCTGATTGGCGCATACTTGAAGGGCAAGATATATATTTTCAAACCAACCATACTTTACTTGTCTCAGCAGTGCAAATCTTAAATCTAACTGTGCATTATGGTATTAAGTTGTATCACTCACAGAATACTTAACCTTGAAATGTCATTCCCACCAGAAGCATACAAGGGTCACTTCCTCCAGCCCCCATAGACTATGACAAACAAGTTTTTCGTTTTGATCCAGCCTTGCCCTAGATAAACATGAACATTTTTACAGGATGCTCACTTAAGCTGCTGAGTTATGAGTTCTTCCTCATTGAGGTAGCGGAGGCGTTCCTCTTCAACCAGAGTGCGCTGCCGTTGTAAGGGATCTTCCTGTTTGCGCATGGTGTCGGTCACCCGCACACTGATTTCAGTCTCTGTCCGTCGCAACATGGTCTTCACTGTTTCTTGATTTTGAAGCTGAAATGCAAGGGAGGGGGAAGAAAAGCAACAGGAAAATAATCAGATACTCAAATCTAACATGTGAGGCATTTTCTTGTGGAACCACCAGAGTGTGTTTGATCGTGTGCGTTTGTGCAATCCTGTGTTATTTCTACAGTTGTTATGATTTAGGATAAGGCTCCCTAGGGTCAGCTGAATGATAGCTTTCCATGGTCATAGCTAAGACATTAAAGGAAAATTGGAAAAGTAGAAAGCAGATAAAGCAATTGTGAACTGTTTCTTCCATAGACAGTCAGGACCAATCAATCATTGGTGTAGGAAGCAACTGTTAATATTAATAAACCATGGAATTTAAAGAAAGATGCACAGCTAATTCCCTTCAGGAACACTATGTAGACATTGTCACAGTCCAGCATTAAATTTTCTTTCCTAAACAGATGTATAAAATGGATAAAATAATTCATTTTCACAACAAACATATACACTTACTTCTTTCCAATAGGATTTGCACAAAAGGAATATTGAATTAGTTATATTAAAAAGGGGTTATATGTACCTGCATTTAAAAAGATCTCTGGTTATTCTGTTTTCTCCCAAACAATGTAAAACTAGTGGTAAAGGAGGCAGTAAATGAGGAATTGGACCTAAATGTACATCTAAACCAGGGGTCAGCAACCTGTGGCTCTGGAGCCGCATGTGGCTCTTTCATCTCTCTTCGGCTTCGCAGTTGATAGGGCTTTTGATTAGGACAGGTAGAGGAAAAAGGATACTGTGCTAGGAGGAGACTCCATGGTGGGAGAACTGGACTTCCGGTCGGCTCCAGAATTGAATGGGGGTTTCAGGTTAGAACTTTTGTGGCTCTTTGAATGTTTAAGGTTGCCGGTCCCTGATCTAAACTCATAACACAAATTAATATTTATAGAGTCGCTTTACTGATGAGATGGTGATATATAAATTTAATTAATAAATATTTGTTTTATATTTAGAAGCATACAAGGTGTATACATGCATTTTTATTTTCTGTCCAAACTCAGTGAATGTATGATTCTTCAAAGGCCTGGAGTTTTCATTTTGTAATTTAGACTTGTATGTTGCCATTGGAGGGGGAGAAATCCAATCTTATTACTGTTACATGTAAAATACCGCAACTGAAATAAATAAAACCTTACAGACTTTATTGTTTAACACTTCATGTTCTTTTATAGTCATGCTGAAATTGGATTGGAACACTGCATACATAATTAGAATTGTTTAAATTTCTATGAGACTAATTTGGATTCCAAATTAAGAATGGTTAAAAACAAATACTTTTAGAAATATAATATAGCCTAGTGCTATCTTCTAACATTAATAATACTTCTGAATAGGCAATCAAGAGTTATTTTTTGTTTCTCTCTTCCATAGAGCTTGATTTCTTTTACTTATATTTGCAAAGTAACAAAAGAACATACCAGCTAGTCAAAGCTGATTTTCTAGAAATACTTATTTCTATACAGATTACATATAGAATTTTGCATGCCCTGACCAATGTGTTATGAATCCCTTGCCATTGGCTATTCTAGCAGGGTCTGGTGGGATTGGATGCCAGTTCATTTATCTTTGGAGCACCCTTTGTTGAATGAATTTGCCACAATCCAAACCCACCCATAGGAATGAGGTTACTACATGTGATTGACACCACAGAAGACATCCATGCAAATCTGGACACCAAATCTGTTGCAGAGTTTCAAAGCATCTGGGAGAAACGTGAGAGTGTGAGCCATTTGCCTTTCCACCACACAGCACTGTTTGCTGCTTTCCAGTTTCCAACAAGCTGTCACTGTTAATTATCTCTGGAGTTAAGCAACTCAGAGAAAAAAAACAGAAGCACCTCCCACAGTTTGGGAGGGAAGATCAGATTGCTGGCTCTGGATGCACAGCTACCATCTGCCCTTTTATTTGGTGCCACAGACTCCAAATTAATCTCACCTGGCACCAAGGCAGTTTGTTTTGGTGAGCACAACTAATGAGAATAAATGTCAACAGAAAAGAGAAACAAAATTGAGAGCAAAAAGATAGCAAGGCAAACTCTTGTGGCAAGGTGGAGAAAGCCAAAATCTTATTTTTCATGGTGTCTGAAGGACAAGGAGAGATTTTAGGATTAAAACCCATCTTATCACTAATTTAAAGGAAACCCAAATAGAAATGGAAAAATAACAAGCTGGATTCAGATAAGAGATCCATGTGGCCCATTACTGTCAGTATTGATTGGCAATAACACTTCAAAGTTTTAGACAGAGAACCTTTTGCAATCTTAGTTGATGCCAAGGATTAAACTAAGACTTTCTGTGAGTAATGTGTATGTGATAATGCTTAGCTATAGACTTTCTCTATGCCTACATTTCATTTGCATTCCTCTTTGTTCTTTGTGCCCCTTCCTTTCTCCCTCAATGAATGAATGGCCCACTTTTAGTAATTGTTACCTTTGTATTTTATATGTTTTAAATTCTTACGTGGGATTTGTTAGAGTGGATAAATGAGAATACTTGACTCGGAGGACCTGCTGGGGAAGGCGGGAGGAACCGGGGTGGTTGGGGGGACCATGGACATGGGAGTGGGTCGGAGCATAGCGGTCGTGGCAGGGAGATGCAGTTACGGCGGGTCTCTTAGGGCTGGCCATTTCCGGGTAAGGAGGGTTCGCTACATTACAGAGATCCCTCCTTCCGGCCCTAGGAGTCCCACTCCAAGACCAGATGGCGCGAGTAGTCAGGCCCCTGGTCTCAGGCTGTTGTCGCTAAATGCCAGGTCTGTTGTCCACAAAGCTCCCCTCGGTCGGGGCTTAATTGTTGACGAGAGGGCAGACCTGGCATGTATTACTGAAACCTGGCTGGG